ACATTTTTAGATATTTTAGTGACACTGTTAATGTTTTAACTGTGCTACTCTGTGTTTACTATCATCCACATTTCTGGATATTTGGGGTGTGTGATATTGACAAAAATTTATATCTGGATATTTTGTCAATAACAATAAGTAGACAATATTTTGCATCCTTCAAAAATGTGTTTAAGTCTAATACTGTACTAGGCTGCTCCTGTTAGTAGGATGTTAATTGCTGATTGCTAATTATATGAATGAAAACAGCTAATTTAAGGAAAACTGGTCTTATTTATTGACTTAAAACTGAAGCAATCAAGTAAAATAATACACAACCATTGAAATCACTTTTGCAAAATTAGTCCACTAAAGTTTGCTGGTTATGATTTTGTGCTGGTACCTTGGCTGGTTCAGTCCTGTTGCGGACAGTTGGCACCTGAAGCTTTTCATATTTTTAATATTCTGTGTGGTGGTTCGTTCAAAGACGGTCACACAAGCTGTCTTTAAAGGATAACTTTGTTTTGTTTTTTTTATATATATGATGCATTTCCCCCTAACATGGGTATTATCACTCCATAACTAGTGCTAATTTTGCTATCATTATTTCCGTTTTTATTAGATAGGAAATTTGCAAATGCGTACCATTTATTCTCATTTGGTATTCCCTCACTGGCATGAGGGCATGGTAAATGATCACTGGTTCAGAGCCACACGCATATAAACAAACCCATATTGGTGAAAGGCTATGACCAAGTGATCAGGTCAGCCAGAAAGTTACCCCAGAGGTACTGTATATTCCTAGGCTATTAGCTATAATGGCTATGCCAAACCGCAAACCAAATACCGTATTTTCTTTCCTTCAGACTCAGAGATAAGCCTGAAAAATGAATAGACTCAAAACATATTTACACTGAGCTCTCTTTGAGGCTAACTGGTTGCCCCAACAAATGCCGTTTAGCACGTCTAAAACGTCCTCAAATCTCTATAAAAGGCGATAGTATAATGATAGTAAAATTTGCACTAGCTAGAGTCACCATACCCATCTTTAGGGAAAGTACAGCAGGTTAACAACAACAAAAAAACCTATTATCCTTTAACCACTTTCCAACATAGACCCATTTTTTCAAAGCCAAACCACCTCCACTTGAGTGAGGATGATTCCTGCCTAGCAATTAAATGAACAATGTAATGTTAAGCCTGATTTATGGTTCTGCATTAAATCTACATAGAGCCTATGCCATAGGCTACGCAAGTGGCCGACGCTAGTGTGAGCATTTATACTGGTGCGCTGGTGTGTCTGTGTCGCCCTGCAATTACACCACCAAAATGCTAGGTAGCAGTAGAGTTTCTATGCCACTGTGTTGTGTTTCTTCGCCTCTTACTGACAATGGTGACAGAAACTGAGTGGGCCATATTACAGTTAAAACTAATAGATGTTGAATAGCAGTTACTTTTCCTGAAATTACTGCAACATAGATAAGAGAGGAGACCTTGGAGGACGTGGTATGTATGACCACTGTACAAACTGAGGCAGAACGAGGTGGATTTTCTAGTGATGGAAAGATGAAGCTTCGTTGAAGCATTGAAGCTTTCCAGCCATTTGAAGCAAAAAAAAATGGTTCATGTGTCGAAGCTTCAAGTGCCCATGTTACACCTAGTGGTGTAAAGAATGTACCACAGGAATTGGTAAAAACAGACTAAAGCAGTGCAGCTCACCCTTATGTTTGTTGTAGGTTAAATGACTGAAGAGTGTTTCTTCAAAATATGAAACAAATCCCATATTATGTAATATTATTACCTCTCTCTGTAATACGTGAATTAATGACTTAAAAAAATTCACGTGTGACATGTCACTGTGTAAGCTTTTGCTTTCAGAAATATGAGTAGACTAATGTGCCTCAAATACAATAAATTGTAGGCTATTATATTATTGTTAATATAAACAAAATGCTCACAGCCCATTCTGAAAGCTGTCTCTAATACACATGTGAGAAGAGTTTCTGTGACTGTACAGAAATGGGAGGTAGGAAAATGGCAATATTTTTCATAAACAATATTTGCTCAGCATGTTTGTGGTGAATACTGGGCAGGGAAGGGGGAACTAACAATTTTTATTTAAAAATTATTAGCTGTACGGTTTTGGGATCAATCCCCCCCCAAAAAAAACACAACCATAAATTTTACATACAGACATACAGATAATTTTGATACCACGGCTCTGAAGTAAAAGCACATACAGTAAGTAGCCTATGAAAATGATTTAACTTGGTAGAAATGAAACTGAGATGTTCCTATACTGGGGATAAAGTGTTTTGGTGCTGATGCCCTGACACTATAACGCCAACAGTCGCACTGCAATGATCTCCAACACTACAAACCCACACGCTTTGCAACCCCCGCCCTCTCCTCATATCTCAAACATCCCACCAACTTTGAAGCACTTCCTGAACTGGTAGCCCAGATAAAACTTCAAACGCCACCAGTGATGTCACATTTTCTAAACAATACAAGCCTCAACATAAAAGTTCACTCTCCACTGCCCCGATTACTCGACATGCTTCAAAGCCTTGGTGTTCAGCCTACCATTACTAGGTAACAGCATAGGGGTCGAGGCTACGTGTTTCCTGCGCCGTAGGTAAGGTGTAGATTTAATGCAGAACCATAAATCAAGCTTTAGATTACAAGGCTTTTGGGGTCTGTATTTTGTCTCCTGGCGCTTTGTTCACTAATGTTTAACTCCATTAATGCATTTTTAGGCAGCTATGTACACAATGCATACACCCTCGATGAACACACGCAGTAGACTATCCTACTAGGCTAAATGATGCAGTAAATGTGTGGACTTTCAAGGTGTGTTTTTGATTGGTTTTTGTAATGTGAGTGACATACTGGAGAATATCAGCTCACGCATGGTTAAAATAACTACAAAGATATTTTCATAGATGATATACATATATTGCATACCCGTACTGAATATATATATATATA